TGTGTGTGTGTGTGTGTGTGTGTTTGTGTGTGTGATTAAACTTGTGTGTGGGGGGGTAGATAGGTGGGTGGGAAGATTTATTTAGGCGAAGAGAGCGGGATAGGCGTTGAAATAAAATATCCTGGCGATCAGACACTTCATCTGCATGAGGGAGTGGCAGGGGGTGGTTTTCAATCTCTGAAATGTGGCCATCGATTTTGAGGCCGGAGAGTGTTTAATGTTAAGATTTTTTTGTAGGGTTTTTGACAATACCTATACCCTGAAGCTGCATATCAAAATGTTGACCGACTGGGGTGCATGAGTGGTTTTGTACTGAGTACCTGTGGTTGTTAAATCTAGCCCTAACAGTGGTGGTGGTTTCTCCTACATATTGGGCTGAGCATATTTTGCATGCTATTAAGTAAATGTATTTTTAGTTTCGCAGTCGATGTTATCTGTAAGGACTTTTTTTGAAAAGAGTGCCCTCTACTTGGTTGGTTTCTGTCATGAAAGGGCAAGTTTTGCACCTAGGTTTCTTGCAGGGGTCGCTCTGGGGCGTTTGTGAAAGGTGGTTTTGAGGTGAAGGAAGATGTGTTGTATTAGATAGATAGATAGATAGATAGATAGATAGATAGATAGATAGATAGATAGATAGATAGATAGATAGATAGATAGATAGATAGATAGATAGCCGTCTCGATTAAGCTTTGAAACAATGTGTCGACTTAGCAAATTGAAAATAGATGCATTAGCTTTTGGGCTACGCTCAGGTCTACCTCAATTTTGGGACAACCCCCGTAATATGGGTATGCAACCTCAATTTTGAAAGAAACGGCGTCGCCCATATACCCCCCCCCACACACACACACACACACAATACAGAACAAATATCAGATGTTTTATCACATCTTGTATTTCTGGGGCTCCAAAAAGATGCAGCGGTTGAACAGCACCAGACGCCCGGCCCTGAGGTTAAAACAACGAAAAACATGGCACAGTAAGTCTTGACCTCTTCAACCTTCAGTGTCCGCTCGTGATTTTATTACTTGAGTATGATAGTTTGACGGAGACGTTTTTCTGAGTTTTTTTGTTTGTTGTTTTGTTGTTGCTATCATCTAGTTAAGCGTTTGTATCCTTTTTTATCAGGTGTAGATCTCTCTAGGTTGAATTGGGTTGGGCCTGGGAGTAGATGATTTCTTTCATTTTTTTTAGGGAAGGGGGCTACTGCGTGCAGTAAGATCCCCACCTGTTTGTATCCTCAGTTGAGATGTCTCCCCCTACCCCAAATCCAACTATACCCCCCGCCCCCTCACGCGACCAAAAGGCCCGGTGTTTAAGTCAGATAGGAAGTTTCTCTCATAAAGTCTTTTAAATGTCTAATGGGTCCTATGTGCTCATATGAACTTATGCAGTTGTGAGCGCCGTATAACACATGCAAAAAAGGCGTTATTTGATTTTGAATGGTCAATTATTCAATACAGAAGCACTGATCTGCCTTATGAATGTGAGACTCGAGACGTAAATACAATGTTTTTTGGGGGGAGGGGTTGGAGGGGAAACCAATGGTTAGTCATACTTTTTCTCTCTGCTGTATCTGTCAATCTGTCTTGTTTTTTATCCTGCGCTCAATGGTCGTCATTGGGTCGATTTGCTTCGCACTACTCGGAACAAACCTGTGCCGAACTTTTTATTATTTTTACTTTACCCTTTTCCGGCCTGTGCTATCCAATGGTGTTGTGGAAAAGAAGCACACGTCTTTCTCTTGCATTTTGTATCGCCTATTACAGACGATAATCACAATGTATATTTTCTTGACTTATGTTTCTCTGACCCCCTCTATCTATCTTTTCCTGAGCCTGCCCCTTCCTCTGTTTCCGTCTAATTTCTAAACATATTTCTAAAGCACTTCAAAAATGGCTGCTGTGACGTCATCCACAATATGTTCAATGTTTAACATGTCTGACAGGTCGGAGGAGTCTATAGAATACCCCAGTGATGACTTTAGGAACCTGTGCAAAAGCCTCAGTATCTGCATCTGTTACTCAGCCTCTATCGGGGGCTCGGGGTCACTGACCGGGACGTCCACCAATCTCGTCATGCAAGGACAGGCAGAGGAGTGAGTGCCTCTTGTCTCTGCTTTGCTCTATACAATCGAGCCTGTCCAAGACGACTACATGCTGTCGAGGAGAAAAATGGCCATCTTATACCCAGTACACACTGTCAGTCGGATTTAATCGAATTAAGTAGGAGCTGGCCAGGCAGATTTGTCTGTAAGGAGAGGCAAACGCTACCATTTTGACACAATGCGGCCAATACGACTCCCGATCTTTAGAAACAAACACGTTTGATACAAAGGTTATAGTCTAATTCTGTCGACTTGCGCCAAACTGCTAGCTTGTGCCCATCCATGAAATAAAATCATCCTGGCCCCGACTCAGTGAAATGAAATCAACTGGCAGTGTGCACTGATTTTTAAACGGGTGGTCCTCTTAGACTGTGCCATTATATTGTCAAAAGAAACGCTAGCGAAGAAGTGAGAATTAGTAGCATGCACAGGTTGATATCTTGGACAGGTGATTGTTAGAGCAGGTTAGACTGTATACCATTCTATTTTTAGTTACGTCTCTCTTAGAGTTGGAGTGCGTTTCTATTGGTGCCGTAGCATAATTTCTAATCTCTCAACCTTGTGCGCTACGGGAATGAGTTCGATTCCCACGCGGGAAAAAAACATTCTGTTCGCCTTTCTGGCTAAACATGTATACGACACTCTCCGTGATCGCTCAGTCAGACGAGTTCCGAGGAGTTCGCTTTCTTAACGGGTCTAAATTATGTCAGTCTGGGGCGTAAAATATCTATCATGTTTTTCTTTTAATGCAAAACACGTAGTAAAGTGCTAAAATAGTTCTATGAAAATTATTTGGATCACAGAGGGGAGAAGGAAAGGCGAAAGTCGGTAACGGAGCACTATGGCAATTGTTGGCGGGTGCTCTGGTGTGGTTTGTCCCTTCTTTCCTATCAAACATCTGTCATTTGGCGTCGTTGGCCTAGTGGTTAGGCTCTCGGACTCGCAACCGTAAGGTCGTGGGTTCGAATCCCGCCAGGGGCCCGATGTTGTGTCCTTGGGAAAGGCACTTTACACTTATTTTCCTCACTTCACCCAGGTGGGAATGGGTACCCGGCTATAGACAGCGAAAGATCTTGTCAGTTTGTTAGTGTTTGAGCGCTTAATCAGCTGCTTGCGCTGTATGCTTCCCTGGAAGCTGAGAATGTTTCGGAGTGTTCTATGGTCTGCTGGGGTAATAATATAGTGTAAAGCGCATAGAGCCTGCTGTTGAGCGGGGATATGCGCTATACAAATGCTATTTATTATTATTATTATTATTATCTCTCCTCCTTCTTTTGTTTGTTTGTTACTCTCTAGTAGCACCTCTAATCTTTGGCAGGTAAATGACATGATTGTGCTGCAAGTGCCATAAAACTTTTACCCAAAAAAGTACGTATTCGCAGACTTCCCGCTGATTCGCCGTCAGTTACAACTTTGAATTTTTGGAGAGCGTTTTCTTGGATCTCCAGTTGTTATTCAGACTGGAGCTCGAACAGATGGAAATTGAGTAGGAACGTTTACCTTTTGATTTATCCTCACAATATCAAAAGATCTGATGCATACTATACTATGCAATGCACACAATACTACATAATTCAATACAATGCAATACAAACAGAACAACAAAACGCAAGGCAATTCAAGGCAAAACAGTGAAACACAATAAAATACAGTACAGCTGAGTACAACACAACACAATGCCATGCGACACTATATAACATAGTTCCAACATAATACAGCTCGATATAATGTTGTTTGAGAGAATACAGTACAATACAAGCCTTGTGATTGATCATATTATGATCGTTAACTTGCTGATATATACAAAACTTTCACTCCACTTTCCAGGATTTTCGGGTCGTACGGGCTGCCGTCTGAGATCAACTTCCTGAACTGGCTCATCATCGCTCTGCCCGTCTCCATGATCTGCCTGCTCATCACATGGATCTGGCTTCTTGTTCACTTTTTTGGGTTCAAGTGAGATCGTTGTGTTGAACCCAATCAAGTCATTTATTAACTCTTAGTATACGGAAGTCTATTTCACATTTACACACAGCCAATATTGTCGTCCAATTTTTCAGCAGCATAAACTTCCCCAAAACTCCGCTTTCTAAGCTGTTTGCAAAAAAATTAACGCCGCACTAGGAATAAATAAGGGATCCCTGTGATAAACATATCGTTTTCTTATACACACGATGGGTTTGCTGGGTTTAGTAGCAAATGCGTAATGGGCGTGCGTGCTCTGGTGTGGTTTGCTACTTCTTTCCTACCAAACATCTATCGTAATTTTCTCTCCTCATTCTTTTATGTATTTGTTAGTCTCTAGTAACACCTCTAATCTTCGGAATTTATATTACTTAATTTTGTTGCAAGTGCCGTAAAACGTTTACTAAACCAAACATCATTTTTGTTTGTTGCTACGACTGGAAACAATAGAGCATGCTAGCAATGCTGTGCGCCAGCACAACTGGCTAACCGTATTCAAAGCGTTAATTTATTTATAAAACTGTACTCACCAACATAATATACATACAAAAGGCACAGTTAACGCAGAGGTAAACAACTACAAAACAAACAAACAAACAAACAGAAACTCTTATGTGAACACAAAGGGCCATGAAGTTTTCTCGGATTCCGCACAGACTACGTTTGTTTTCCCATGGATTCTTTCAGTGTTCATGATCATTCTTATTTTCTTTACACAATTGTATCATTATTAATCTCTTATTTCTCCAGCATACGTTTTATCAGCGGTGCACCCAATGCTCCCAGTTCAACATCATCGGCATATGGGCCTATTTGTTATGCCCTACTCAACTTTCAGCAATAAAACTATTATTATAATTATAATGCTGCATGGCTTAACGTCCCTTCCTACACTGAAAGATACGGGGTCGTCAGGTTTGTTCTTGACGTACAACTGGAACTACCGGTCGATTTAATATTAATTGTAAGAATGTCTCTGAACGAATGTTAGATCCTGTAATGGAAGATTAACACTTGAAGGAGTGAATCGGGGTATAGAGCTTTCACATATCTCAGATAGTGTGGGTATGAAGTTCTATCAAAGAAAAGATTTCGCCCGCCCTTTAATAAGCACCTCTCCTGCAAAAATAAGGGGTAAAAAGTTTGTTGGTTTTTTCCCCAACGAAAAATAGATCTAGTATGATATGTTTGACTTTCTTTTCTCCTGATACAATATTATTGTATTGCTACAGAGAGTTGTGTCGATGGGGCTGTGGAGGAAAAGAAGAAACCGAAGCTACCCGGAATGTAATTCGAAGGTCATTAAACGAGCTGGGACCTTTGTCGTAAGTGCAGCCTGCATTTTTTTCTCCTTCATTTTCATCTTTTTGTTCTTTCTGTGAACTGAACGCCTTATAAGAAACAAGCTTGTATTTTCAAACGCGGAGCATGTGATCAAGTGGTTGACTTGAAAGACTGGAACAAGTGAGGAAAAAAACTCGAACCCGTAGATGTCGAAATTTTACGTCGCCTTAGACATTTTTAAGATCGTTTAGGAAGTCGGTCACTTTGACACGACCTGTCAGGGCCAACCTGGGCTGAGACTGAGAGTGATACAACGTCCTAGTAGAAAGTTCTTCCCACGATCGAATTCATGTCTCTTGCGTGAGACGACCAAGCACCAAACCGCTACATCGCAGACATCGGGGATCAAGGGACGGCATTAAGCACAATGTAAATTGTTGTTATTTTTAAGGACAATTTTTACCATAACATTTGGAACCACTTGATCTGATCATTGACCAAACTAAAACCGTGATGTGAACTGTTGTGGATACAACCAACTTGTACGTCGCGCGCTCATATGACTTTATGGAGTTGCGGACGTTGTAAAACTCTTTACTAAGTTAAAAAAGCAGAGACAACACACTAATATTTTACAGCAATCAAAACGCCAATAACACTGCGGACTAATAGTAATAGATATTTGTAGATTATTTTACCGTTTATTGGGCTTCACCTGAAGTTGATGCTCAATGGCTCAATATATTATACTGCCTCGTTCCCTTCAACGGGTTTTATTAATCTATATTATTTAACATGATATTTACCGGCATCTGAGGTTTAACCGTTGAACACTACGTTGTCGCGTGCAGGAGATTCACGTTCAATTCCAGTGTCGAGAGAATTTTTATCGAGTATCTCGATCTTTCTATTGTGATCTTGTATCCCTCTCAGCCCGGGTTGGCCCTGACAGGTAATGCCCAAGCCTACCTCTTCAATGATCTAGGTTCTGTCGATGGGGGTTTTTAAACACTTAATTAAGAAAATTCAGAATAATACTTAATATATTTGTGACGGCTGCATATTGCTTCACATTATAAAAAGATTAAAACTTGTAAAGAAGACGTAACACAACCTCTTTGCTCGCCTACCTGCCGGAAAACTGATTTATTGTTTTTCGTTTACAATGAGATCTCGTGTGTATTTCTAACGAGACAATATGAGACGTGGCAGGAAGGGGAAAAATCGTGGTATCAAAGAATCGTTATTGCAACATTTGCAACATAGCTCATTCCCATTTTTACATTTCAAACAACGGTCGTTACAATCCTCCCTTCTTAGTTTATCAAGTCATTTTTCAATTTTGAAAAAAAATAGTATTATGGTTTAGCAGGTGCTTCAATTTTGACTTCATCAGGAATTGTCATGGTAGCATTATAAGTATAGTAGGCGGCAGATACTACTGAATGACATACAGTTGTAAACATGGTAAACACAACTTTAAACAAATTGATAGACACCTGTCATCTGTATGTAGCTTCAGTAAACAGACATGATATAACATGTAATACTCAAACACACACACAGTACAAAACAATGGTTCTCCATTTTCGTTTTATACTTAAAATGAAAAAGAAAACGTTGGCAAATTCATAGCACGAGTCTATCATGGGCTTTTCGAATCCTAGTGGACCTTCTGAGAGGTGGTGTTGGTGATATGCAAGGAGCATCTTGCACAGGTTGTCTAGAACTATCATTAGTGCTATCATTTGCATTTGAAGTTTCATCATTACCTACTCCTCCTTCTCAGATGGGAAAATGGGAATTTGAATTTCTTCAGTTTCACTTTGTCTTACTTGCTCATTGATTTCACTTGACTGAACAGAAACATTGTCACTTATGTCATTCCCAGTTATGTCATTCTCAGTTATGTCATTCTCAGTTATGTCATTCTCAGTTATGTCATTCTCAGTTATGTCATTCTCAGTTATGTCATTCTCAGTTTGAAATTGCGGCACAAACTCATTTGAATCAAAGTTTGAAACTTAAATCTGATCTTTATGTCTTTTGTGAACACCATGAGAGGGTGTTTGAACTTAAAATGAAACAGGACCAGTTTGATCAACAATTGTTCAGAATGTGTTGAATCTCATTGGCAACCATGAACTTCTGGAATTGTGAACTTGTCCAAGTAGGACCATTATCAGTGAGTGTTGAGTTTGGGAGACCTGTGACAGAAAAAGTGTCACACAACTCAAGAATGGTTTGATTAGCAGTGATGTTTGTCATTATTTTCACATCCAACCATTTTGAATGGGCATCCATTACTATCAAGTACATTTTCCCCATAAAAGGTCCTGCAAAGTCCATAATATGAACTCTGTCCCATGGTTGTGAAGGCCATTCGCAGTGGTGCAAGGGTGTTTTAACAGGGTTTTTTTGTGTGTAACTGGCATTGTATACACGTCTTTGCTTTTTGTTCAATATTGGAATCAATGTTAGGCCACCAAACCCATGTTCTTGCAACAGATTTCATTTTATTCATTTTAGCCATATCCACAAGCGCATCATGCAACAAATCAAAAACACCAATGAACAAAACATTTGGAACAGTATCTCTTGTACCCCATAACAGACATTGTTGTTCTACACTAATTTCATAATAGTCTAAGAGCATCTCTTGTAAGGCCAACCATGCATTGTATACTCATACACTAGTTTCAAGGTTGGATCATTTTGTGTTGCAGTTGCAATCTGTTCGACATTCAAAGGAGTTTTTTCAATAAGATTGAACAAAAAATTGACTTCTTCTGGTACCCAGTCCAGGTTATCATTACTCTGATTTGGTAGCGGCAAACGACTAAAAGATCTGCATTGTTCTCTGACCCTGGTCGATAGACCGAATGGTAGCTATAGCCTGCAAGAATGATTGCCCATCTCTGCTATCTGACAGAAGCAAGCTCTGGTATTTGCTTTGATTCTCCTAACAGACCTAACAGAGGTTTGTGGTCAGTGACAATGACAAAATCTCTTCCATACCATACATATATTTATGGAATTCTCTCATGCCAAAAACAACTGATAGTGCTTCTTTATCCAGTTGTGGGTACTTCTTCTCTGCAACACTAAGAGTACGATGAGCAAAAACAATTGGTTTCTCTACCCCATTATCATACACATGAGAAAGTACAGCGCTAACACCGTCTGGCGAGGCGTCGCATGTCAGTACAAAAGGGACCAACAAGCGGTCTGAGGTTAAAACACATTTAGCATTGTCAAATTAAATGCTCTCAGATGAAAAGAACCCCAATGCCACTTGACATCTTTGTTTAGCAGACCATACAGAGGGGCTAGGCTTTGAGACAGATTGTTCACAAATCTGGAATAATAGTTAATCAGTCCCAGAAACGCTTTCAACTAGTGCACATTCCTGGATTCAGGGGCATCCCTGATTGCTTTGACTTTCTCATATTGTGGTTGCAAACCATGGTTGTTTAGTCTGTAACCCAGAAAACCCACTTCCTCTTGCGTGAATTCACACTTCTCAAGCTTGATTGATTTCCTGACATAAGTTCAAGACTTTGTTAAGAGTGCCAAGGTACTCTTTATCACTAGCACCAGTGACATAGAGAGTGTGGAAGTAAACGCAAGTATTGGGAAAATCCGGAAAGAGGCTGTCCATGACATGTTAAAATATGCCTGGGCATTATGAAATTCCGAAACACAGACGATTGTACAGAAACAAACTTTTGTGGGTGTTGATCGTCGTCGATTTCTAGGACTCAGGATCCAATGGAAGCTGGGTGTACCCGTGTGAGAAATCGATAGTGGAAAATTTTACACCACCAGCAAGCTTGGCTACGAGGTCATCGATCCGTGGGATCGATTACATGTCTACCTCGATGACTCTGTTGAATGTGACCTTGTAGTCACCACATATGCGAATAGCACCATCCTTTCTCGTCACTGGCACGATGGGCGTGGCCCATTCAGAAAACTCTGTTTTGCTGATAATACCGGTACTCTGAAGTCGAGTAAATTCATTCTCAATTCATTCCCTCACTGAAAAGGAGGTTGACGTGCTCTGCAACACGTTGGTATTTGGTGTCCGGTTTAAAATGAATCTTGACTGTCCTGTCGTTCAACAAGCCAGTCTCTCCAAAACAGGAAGAGAATCACTGCAAAAGTCTATCTAGACCATCTGGTACACTGAAAGTGAACAAGGAATTCCAATCAAGACATACTGTCTCTAACCAATTTCTGCCAAAGTGTGGTGGACCTTTACCCTTCACAATCAATAATGGCATGTCTTGGCACTGATTATTGTGACTGACACTCACTAGACACTCACCTACGATAGGCACAGGTTGTCCCGTATACGTGTGCAAAGACTTTAACGTTGACTAGAGAAGACACTGAAAAGACTTATGAAAACCACTCTCTGTCACAACAGTAAGGGCAGCCCCTGTGTCTAACTGAAAAAGGACAGTCATTCCATTGATACACAAGTTAATGTCTATGGGTTTCCTAGCAGTTCCTGACATGGAAAAAAGATTGAAATTGTCATTAGGATCTGCTTCCTGAAGAAGATGGTTCTTTCGTTGAGACAAACGTTTAGCCTTTGTTGAAGATGCGGAGGAAGGCATAGACCTACAAACTTTGGCAATGTGGCCTACCTTCTGACATTTGAAACACGTTGATTTCTGGAATGTGCATGCATGAGAAGCATGTGGGCCACCAGAGCGACCACATAGTTTGTGTTGCTGCTGTTGCAGTCTACGTTGAGCAAAGTTGATATTCTGCTGAGAGGTTGACGAAGTCGAAAACGACGTTGTGCTCGATTGAAGCTGACGAGCTGCTTGCGACGTTGACATCGTTGTTGTGCCAATTTCGATAGCCTTGTGAAGAGTAAGTGACGACTTACAAAGAAGTTTGCGTTGAACTGCTTGATCATTGATGGATTTTGTGAACTTTTCACAGAGACGTTCCTCTTACTGATCTCCGAATTCATAATGCTCTGTAAAATTGCGTAGCGAAGCGACGAACTGCTCCGATCACAGTAAGGAAGATTGAACGCTTCTTCCCTTCCTCCGTCACTGCGTTGGCATTGAAAAAGAACGATAGATGATCCAAGTAGTCGGAAAAGTTCTCTCTCGCGGGGTCAAAATCGTCAATCTTTCCGAAGAGTGACACGATGGCTAGGTGCAGACGTAGATCTAGATCTCGAGTGAGCGACCGGACAGGTAAGCAGGCTGAAGAAGAAAACTCGATCTCTAGATCTAAAACTCAGCGTAAGCTCTTGACTAAAGATAGATCTACTCCATAACTCTATATAGCGTGAAGCTCAATTACGACTCAGTTATCATCATCGCCAGAATGTGAAGGCTGCATATTGCCTCACATTATAAAAAGATTATAATAACTTGTAAAAAAGACGTAACACAACAGTCTTTGCAATATTAATTGTTTATTTATATCTGGTAGTGTTATATACCTAATTTGTTCTGTTGTTTTGTCATTATATCATTTATTTACTATTATGAATTGGAAATTTTAAAACTTCTTTGAGAAACTAACATCGAAGAAGACAGGGTTTTATTAAAATTCAATTGGCTTATTACGAGATCACCGATCCGGAAAAACGCCCCCAGACAGTAAATGATGAAAATAAATCCCCCTAAACAAACTTGTGTTATCTATTCTACTCCCAAATAGGTTTGCAGAAAAAGCTGTTATTGGACATTTCGCTGTGTTGGTCACCCTTTGGTTGTCAATGAAAATGCCAGGGGGTGTAGGATGGAACAGTCTCTTCACCCCAGGGTAAGTATTGTATGATATTAAATTTACCTTTCTGATGTGCTCAACGTTTTCTTTATCTTTCAGAATGTTGGTGTGTTGAACGCTTCCGGGGAAAAACACATGTACTTTTTAACACATTCGAGACACTATGCTCCTCCGGGGAAAAACACATGTACTTTTTAACACATTCGAGACACTATGCTCCTCCGGGGAAAAACACATGTACTTTTTAACACATTCGAGACACCATGCCCCTCCGGGGGAAAAACATAAACACGTTTTAGCGTATTCTATGACGTTATACCAAGGCAGAGAGTCTTTGGTCTCTGTTAGAGGACACATTTAGACACATTTTAACACATTCGAGCTTGATCTAGGTATTGAAGCCGATAAGACTCAGTCGGTCTTGTTTAACATCGTTAAGCCTTTTTAACACCCTTGAAACTTTTCAGCACATTCGTTACTATTTAACACTTATTCTTTTAATTATCACAGGGATCATCTATTCTATACTGTATGGGTAGACACCCAGATATATCATTATCATAATATTATTTTCGTTGAGGATGAACGTTTTTTGCGCGACAATATTTTGTTTTTTCGATAATCTTTTCTGTCTGATCAAACTTTGATTTGAACTAGGAAAAGTAAGAACGTTTGATTTGATCGAATTAAGTTAAGCAAGACTGGGAAAAAATCAAGAAAACATGACTATTTTAAGTCTCTTTTCTGCAGACCCTGCAGAATCTGATGGGACTAATGTGCACCTGCCAAGATCTTTAGGTTTTTTTGTGTTTTGTGTTTTGTGTTTTGTGTTTTGTGTTTTTTGTTTTTTGTTGATTATGTGTTGCTGTGTTGTTGTTGGTTGTTTTTGTTTTGTTTGTTTGTTGTTGTTTTTGTTTTTGTTTTGTTTTTGGGGGGGGTTGTTGCGCTTTATTTTGTGTTTGTTATTTATTTTATTTTGTTTTGCTTCTTATATGTTTGTCTGTTATTTGGTAGGTATTTGTTGGGGGTCTCACTAAAAAAAAAAATAGAAGCGGGGAAAAAATAGAAAAGAGGCAGAGGTAGGTTGTCCTAGAAAAACCCTCTTAGAGAACTTGAAAACACTGATGAAGAGGCTGAGACCGATGTGGTTATTGATGTCTGTTTCAGATCTGGTGCTTAAAGAAGACTTCTGGATTATTTTAAGCATTAATTGTTATTCTTTTTTCCCTTCAGGTTCGTGAACAATTCCACGTCTGGGGTAATCATCCTGACTTCTCTCTTTATTTTCCCATCCCAACGACCTCGTATTTTTGGGGGAAACAGTGGAACCGTGGAGGGTAAGTTATGTGGGCTACCGGACGTTGTTGTTGTTGTTGCTGTAGTTTTGGTTGTTGTTGTTGTTGTTGTTGTTGTTGTTGTTGTTGTTACTGTTGTTGCTGCACTTGATGTTCATGCGATTGTTGTTTGTAATTCATCAGCCGTCGGTTTCATACTTTTTGACCAAGTGTAATTTTGTGATACAGAGAGGATGAGTAGCTAACTCATACCAATAATTGAAATGGGTATACTACATTACTTCTCTCAAATGGAAGTCTGTTTTATTTTTAAAAAATACTTTTCTAAGAAGAAGAAGAAGAAGAAGAAGAAGAAGAAGAAGAAGAAGAAGAAGAAGAAAAAGAAGAAGAAAAAGAAGAAGAAGAAGAAGAAGAAGAAGAAGAAGAAGAAGAAGAAGAAGAAGAAGAAGAAGAAGAAGAAGAAGAAGACGAAGAAGAAGAAGAAAAAGAAGAAGAAGAAGAAAAAGAAGAAGAAGAACAACAACAATAACAACAATGCCGACGACGACCATGACAACGACGATTACGAGGCCGTTGACGAACAAAAATTAAGAGGGGGAGGAGGAGGAGGAGGAGGAGGAGGAGGAGGAGGAGGAGGAGGAGGAGGAGGAAAAAGAAGGTGTGGAGGAGAAGAAGCAGCAGCAGCGGCGGCGGCAGGACGATGACGACGACGACGAGGTGAAGGAAGGAATGATGAGTAGACAGACCTTTCTTCCTTTTTCAGGCAATAGTAAATCTGACAGTTGCCCGACCCTGTTAGAATGGGAGAATGTTCAGCAAATGTTCCCATGGGGTACCTTCTGTCTGATTGGTGGAGGGTATGCCCTGGCTGCGACGTGTCAGGTGAGATATTTGTTTCTGTGTATTCTTTCTTCCTTTCTTTTTTTCTTTCTTTCGTTCTTTCTTTCTTTCTTTCTTTATTGATTTATTTATTTACATATGTATAGTGAGGTGCAAAAAAAACGCGAATTTTTAATGTTGTTGTAATCGCCCAATGCTGAGTTCATAGTTGTGTGATGTGAACTCATATCACTCAACACTTGCCTCGAGCGTCTTGATTGGACATTTTTGAGCATCGCAAAGATGTCATTGGCTGCGTAAGCAATACACAACTCACGAGTCGTGCATCACTAACCACTGGGACACATTTTGCAACTTGTTGTCAGTGGTGAGTTTATGCTCACTCAGTCCTGGGCGTTTGCCTATAAAATCCGCGCCTCAAAATGTTGCATTCATATCGAAACAGACGATCTACAGACATGCCAAGGTTATCAAGGGAAAACAGAGAAAGAGCTGTCGGGCGACTGGCGGCCGGCGAGTGTGAAACAGGTGTCCCAGGTTTTTGGTGTTCACCCAAGCACCATTTATCACCTTTGGAACACCGATTACAAGCGACAGCCACCACAGCAGATCGACCAAGAAGCGGAAGACCAAGGGGGGCAACTCTGGTCCATGATTGTGTCATCATTCGTCGG